GATCACTAGTATCTAAGTCTTCCGCTGTGCTATCTTATACCTTGTATTGAAAGGTCGGTTCTTGTTCTGGTCTGCACCTATACGGTATGCAACAGCATCTGGATTCGAACTCAGGTCTGTATTTCAAGTTTTCGTGGGTGTACGGACCGCCCTGGGCCCGTGGGTTTTAATCAAGTTCGAATAACGGTCTTTGAGAACTCGTTTGGTTTCTGTATTGAAGGCCATGCCCAACTGGTGATATGTCCATGCCCAGAATACACGAACGGTGCCGCTTTTGTGGCTACGGTCATGCTTTCTAGACACAAGCATACCCCCAGCAAGGACTTTCCGTTAGTCTGCACTCTGGACGCTGCAGAAGTCTTACTGCGAGAGATTTGTCCCTCCCAACTACTCCTGCCTCTCTTTCTTGGTTTGAACGTTGAAGCCCTTGGTATGGGAGATATCTGCCCCACCTCGGGTAGCCATGGAAGCCACCGTATCACTGAATGCCAAAAGTCAGGTGCTCTCTCTGTCTTGGTTTGAAGCCCTTGGTATGGGAGATATCTGCACCTTTCCGTTGTCGTCGGGTCAACACGGGGCAGATTTGAACGGCTAGGATCGGGCAGATTTGTACAGCTGTTCTCTCGTTTCGTGGTTGTGTGTCTTGTCGGTGTTGTGGACTATACGGGGCATTCTAATTCTTTGTCTTTTGCCCTCCATCCCCTTATGGAGCATGGGCTATTTGGATGTTTAAGTTGCCTTTTTTGCTCCATCCCTTTTTATGGACTTTGAAACATAAATGAATACATATGTAATATGTATATGTGCAAGTGTGCCGCTTTGGCGGCAGACGGGTGTGCGGGCACTTGGCGCTGAACCACACAAACGTGGCCAACCTTGCATTTTTTACTTGTTTTTATTATTTTGCCTATCTCTAACCGTTTTGTTTTATGGATGGCTTGTGATGATTTGTGAAGGGAATGAGAGAGAGAATCTGGGGTCTTTTAAAACAACACACATACACACACACACACTCACGCACACACGCACGCTGGCTGCCCTCGCACATACTGCCTATCCCCTGGAGTCTATAGAGTATGAAATCACAGAGTTACTCTCTCTCTCTCTCTCTCTCTCTCTCTCTCTCTCTCTCTCTCTCTCTCTCTCTCTCTCTCTCTCTCTCTCTNAAAAGAAAAAAAAGAAAGAAGGGTGTGGAGGTATCGAGGGTCAGGTGCCACAGGAGGCAACTGCTCCCCACCCTGTCGGGTCATTCCTGTGCCGTTACGATCGGGAGGCTACAAATCGGGGTGCGGATGTAGCGACAGGGCCCCAAGCAGACAAGAAATGCGGTGGTACCAGATGGATTTCAACCATACTTGCAACGCATGTTGTGTGTGCATGCAGCGCACAGCGCTCGTGTAGCCATGTGTGTCCACGCAATGCGGTGCATCCGCAAAAATAGGGTTCCAGGAGTGGGGTGTGTTACCACACGGCCCTAACGTGTCGAAAACTTTGAAAACTTGATGCCCAGAAACGGTAGGGTAGCGATTCAACCAGCAAAATAAATAAATGGAAGTCCAGTTTCATTGCTTCGGGACCAGTTAGGCTCACTATGGCCAACCTACCGTCTTCACCGAAATAGAACGCCCGGTCATTACTGTTGCATTCGCCCAAATCGAACGCCCGGTCATTATAGCTTGTGTTTTTCGGGGTTAACATTCAGTCTGGATACAGCAATAATGACCGGGCGTTCTATTCAGGTGGAAGACAGTAGTGTCGGGCCGAACTTACCAAAGGCGGAACTCATGTCATAGGGTGTGTAAAATGGAAGGTATGTTTCGTGGCGAATACAACACCAAGGCCCTCGCTTAGCGGCTTAGGGGCTCTACATAATCTCCCCCTAGAAGGGCGACATCCTGGCTGGCCCCAAAACATCACCTACCCAACCGGCTCCGAGGTCCTCGAGGTGGCTCGTAATGAGAACTAGAAAGCCAAGGCCCTCACATATGGGCTCTACACAATCTCCCCCTTGAAGGGCAACATCCTGGCTTCCCCAGAACATCCCCCTAGGGGCCAACAGGCCATCAGGTTGTCAAGGTGGTCCATAATTAGAACTAGTAAATCAAAAAGATGGAAGGAGAAACACGGTCATTGACCTTCCAAAAAGCAGCCACCCGGACACCGGACACTTCCGGACTGTCTTCCGGACCAGTGTCTGGACTTGTCCGGACTCTCCGGTGATCCGGACATCACCGGACACCGGACAGTCCGGGCCGGTCCCCGGGGTGCAAAAAATGTCCAGACCCCCCCCCCCCCCCCCCCCCCGATGTGTATAAGAGACAGCACACACACACACACACACACACACACACACACACACATGCACACACACACACACACACGCTGGCTGCCCTCCCAGGTAGTGCCTATCCCCCAGAGTATATAGAATATGAAATAACGATAACGGAGTCACTTCTGAGTTCAGACTCGTTTTTTTTGTTTTTCAAATTATCAGGGTCTTCGTTTTAGCTTTTTTTTCGCACCAATTTTCGCCTGGTTTTTGATAATTTTCTCTTGTTTCTGTTTCTTTCCGGTGATACCTGCGAACACTCCATCGGTGCCCTGAGTTGAGATTTTGCTTGGGGTGTCTTCATTTTTTTGTTTTATATTTTAATTGGATCTTCCCCTTCATTTGTGTGATCCAGGCCTGTGATGGTGATACCGGGGGTCTACGGTCTTGGCTCAGGGAGACCAAAAATGCTCTTCCAGTCGCCTGTTCCCATGATCGCGACCGTCTTATGCGATAAGAGAGGGAGACCGAAATACTCAGGCTCAGGGGTTCCCTTCATCTGCCAGTCGCCTGTTCCCGATCGGCAAACCATCTTCATTGTCAGAGGTCAGTCTGTCAATCCGTACTGGAAATTTTCAAGGCAGCTCTGTTTTTATTACTTTTAACTTCCCCAACCATATTTTCCCCTTTGGGAAGCTCACCTCTGCGCATGCTACACATCTCTGTGCTCGCGCTTGGATCTCCTCCTGGCCCTTCAAAAAATGATCGGGTAATCCTCCTGGGGAAAAAGGCAAAAGAAAATCGCACATGTGCTGCCGACGAATTCATCAGTCGAGGGAGGGGAAAAAATTCAAAAAAATAAATAAAAATTAGTTGCATCAACGTGCATGATGATCTTCACCGAGTCCACACATATAACATGTAATAAACAAGCAGGCCTCCATCCTTCCTGGGACCTTTCACCTTCTTGTCATCATCCCCATCCTCACCACCATCTCCGTCTCGACCACCAGGACTCAACTTCGCTGAAATGATGGTGTTAGTCAGTTTCTGAGTGAAGAGGACATCTAATTGGCGTGCATACAGCATGATCCTCTGATCAGCTTGATGGGACGATGCACTAAGGTAATTGTTTCAGCTGCTCTCAAATTCCTCCTGGTGCTCTTGTGGACAGGACGCCTTTCTCTCGAACTATGGCTGTGCGGGCACTTGGGCATCTTCCCAATGGCTCGTTGTAGTGCAGAGAGCTCCCGGGTGGTGTGCAGCAAAGTATTGGTGAGAAGGTTCCAGAGTTCCTCAGTTTCCACCTGTTTTCCCTTTTGCTCTTTCGCGTCTGGAGTCGTTCCCCTTCCTCTTTTAACCTTTTTCTTTTCATCGAATTCTTTTCTTTTTGCCGCCAGCAACTTCTGATTGAGCTCACTTCTCTTCTCTTCTATCGACAAATTCTTCTCCTCCTGATCTTTTGTTGCTGCCAACTTTGCCACAACAAATTGATCCCTCTCGTCGTCGGTTTCCTCCCGAAGCTCCGTCCGGAACCCAAAATTTTCCCACCCAGCATAAGTCTCCAACCCGCTGGAGCCGTAGTTCCCCAGCACGGGTGCTCTCTGCCATCTCCTCCCCTTCTAGCGCTAACCACTCGCAGATAGCGCACAAGCGCCTCATCGGCGCTTCCACACTTCTTGCGAACGAGCAATCTGTCCGAAATGTGGCGGGCCAGTCCTTATATTGACTTGGACTGAGCGTTGACTCGTCCCAGCCTCTGCTTCTCTTGGTTTGACTTGTGCCTGGTACCAGCTGCCCGCAGCCTGATTGCTTCAGAATGTTCAGGCCCGGTACCTTCCTGGGTTTTCCGCTGTGTGCTGCTGCTTTTGGGTCTGTGGAACGTGACTCGTTACTGTGAGCCGTGACCCTTGCCTGTGGGATATGACCTTTTTGGCTGCGAGACGTGACTTTTGTCTATTGGATGTGACTTTTGACCGGCCTGACGTCACCTTTCTGACACCGGCTGGCCTGGCCTCTTTTGGCTTTGGGACTTCGACCCTGAGATTCGAAATTGGGGTCCGCATCGTGAAATGCCTTGCACCTTGCCCTCACCTTGAATAGGATGTGCCGTCAGCGTGACTCTATCAGATGCAAGCCTTTAGCTACCGTCTTGCCATGATTGGAACTCTGAAGATGGTGGTTGAACAACGGAGGGCTTGCTGCCTCACAATCCGCAACGAGCGATCCACTTTGGGCATATTCACACTAGGACATTTTTTACTAAGCTTTGGAAGTAATTGCAGTCAGATACATCCAGAGTCGACTGTGATTTAAGTTGCATAATCCGGACAGTCGGACAGTCGTAGCGTGAGTTTGCCCTCAACCCGGTATCCTTGGTCATATAACGCCAGTCTTCGCCCCAATCTACAACCACGCTTCTTTCTTTTCCTCTTCTGTTTTGCAATGTCAACAAGAAGAGTGCTACCATTCTTCTTGATCTGGGCTGCGTTCATCTTGACCCAGCGTAATTCGCCGTTGTTGGTCTTTCCCGGTTCTCGCCGCCAACCTCGGGATGTTGTACGAGACATGTCGACACTGAATGCCTCCCTCTGCAGCTGCTGCTGCCGGTGTTCTGGCTTGAGCTGTACTCTCATCAGTGTAGCTTTTTGACAGGTCCCCTTGGGATTCTGTTACTTGGTGTGGAGGAGCTAGTACTGTATTTGTAGTAAAAAGGAAAAGAGAGGAGGAGGAGGAGGAGGAGGAGGAGCAACAGGAGGATGAGGGAACAGAGAAGAACGATGACGTGAAGAGAGAAAAAGGAACGGCAAGAAGAAGAGGCTGCTGCCAATGTTGTGGCCAGGCCATATGCTCGTCTGTCTAGACTTCTGGTGGGTCCTCTTGGGATTCTGTTAATGGGTGTGGAGGAGCCAGTACGGCAATCGGAATAAGGAAAAGAGGGGAGGAGGAGGAGGAGGAGGAGGAGGAGGAGCAACAGAAGAGGGAAGGAACGGAGAAGAACGGTGCTGTGAAGACAGCACAAGGAGAAGCAAGAAGAAGTGGCTGCTGCCAATGTTGTCGCTACACCATACACTCATCAGCGGTAGAACAAAATCACATCATAACGAAGTCCAACTTGAACCGCTGTATGATATCCTTCGTAGAGGGATTCACGTATCGCATCACGCCACCATACAAGCATGGTATACAAAGCGCCGCCATTCTTATACAGGAGGTAGAATGATTCCTAAACCTATACGAAGTCACAGCGTACCTTCTGTATAAGAATGCACGTCCAGAGCACCGCCCGTGGTAGCGAAAGCTCCCAGTAAAAAAAAAAAAAAAAAAAAAAAAAAAAAAAAAAAAAAAAAAATCCTCCCAGTAATAAAAAAAAATAGGCCATGGACTTGGATCAACTAAATGATAAGGATGCTTTTGAGAAGTCTGCACCCTCATGAAGACCTGTAGTAGCATGTTCAAACCTAGCTCCCAAAGTCCCCGAGCAATCAGGCTTGCACGGCGTCTGCTTCAACCAGGGCTGAGCAGGGTGTAGGCATCTCTGCTTAGCCCCGGTACCTGCAACCGCTGTCTGGTGAGGTCACCCCGCCAAGATGGCAATGGGTGATGGTCCTGGGTGGTTAACACTAGTGTAGGACGGGGGGCAGGGCAAAAAAGATAAGAGGAAGGGTGGGTGGGGTCTTCAGATGGGTTCATCTGGACAACCGAGTGGCCGAGTACTGTGGGTGACTGCCATCCGTCTAGTATCCCACCTCTACAACAACCTGGGCTTCATTAAAAAAAAAAAAAAAAGTCTTACTCATTGCCTTGGGATTCTGGTTATGGGTATCGAGGAGCCAGTACGGTAATCAGAACAAGGAAAAGAGATGGGGAGGAGGAGGAGGAGGAGAAGCAATAGAATATGGAAGGAACGGAGAAGAACGATGACAAGAAGACAGGAAAAGGAGGAACAAGAAGAAAAGTAATAGCATAGGAAGATACAAGACCGAAGAGAGAAAGAGGAGAACAAGGATTAAGTTTGAAGACGGAGATGAGGAAGAAGACCATTTGTAGGTAGAGAATGGTGGAGAGGAGGTGTTTGCTGTTGATTATGATGATTCGGAAGAATGTGGATGAAGCTGGTGCTGGACGGTGATGATAATCATGACTGTGACAATGTGGTGGTGGTGGTGATTATTATTATTATGATGATGATGATGATGATGATTACCATGTCATCATCATCATCATCATCACCACTGACAGGAGTTTTGAACTGCCATGCTGAGCGTTGAGAATTCGGAGAGAGGTGAAATATCATCATCGTCATTACAATTTGACAGAAGTCTGGACTTCCATGCTGAGCTTTCAGAATTGGGAGAGGGAGGGAGTATGTTATCTCAGCCTTAGTTGAACAGTGTATTAACCTTCTTTGCTGTTTCGTATTCGGAAATGTGCACGCAGGAAACCTCTGGGTATTTTGACATGCCGGCAAAAGCTTAGACCGATATACCGGAGCTTGTGATAGAGGCGGAATTTGGAAAGTGATCCCAGGGCAAGCAAGAGAATGAGGAGGCGGCTGAGCAGCGAGCAGCAGCTTGAGGGTGGAAATTGTCCTTTGCTCTTTCAGACTGCTGCAGCGTTGCTTCCATTGGGAGTGAGTTGACTCAGTTTCAATCTCAGGTCCGTTCGCGAGCTGGAAATTGGACGACACCGTTAAACGAACTCAGTCCCTTACCTCGTTGCCGAACTCGGTTTCAAAGTCAGGGCATACTCACATCAGGACTTTTTCGACTCGGCTCGGGACGTAATGGCGGTCAGATACGTCCACACCCGGCCTCAATCGCGGTCAGATTCATCTGGGGAAGTCCTAGTGTGAGTGTGCCCTCAGATTCAATTGGGAGTTTATATTTGTTGGGCTGATTGATCATCAACGAATTTTGATGCCACTTGGTACAGGGCCTCGCTCCACTACTCGACATTCTACATGCATTTGGACGATTCTCGACCAGGTGCATTAGGACAACTCCAACATTTTGAATGTATCGGGACTATTATGAGCTCCCGATATATATAGAGTGTTTTCTAGTGGGGTGAGGCCGGGCAGTCTACGATGTACGTGTATATGAAGCATTCCTCTCACCCATCTCTTCAGAGAAAATATTATCGAGTTTTGGTATTTGGTATCGAGGTCTGGCCCTTTTGGGGTCTTGCCCGTTTGGCCTTGTGCGTGCAGGAAGAGGCGGTACAACGTGTGAGTTGTCCTTTGTGCCAGTCGTGGTAATGTAAACAGGGTTCCGTCACAGTGTTCCCGTCTCCGTTTTCGTCTTGTGATAACGTAAACAGGGTTCCCGCCTCCGTTTTCCTCCCTCACTTCTCTTTTCTTTTCTAATCAGCTCCCACCTCTCTTTCATGTCTATGTGAGGGGTGGAGGGAGATGCATAAGGGAAAGTAAAAGAAATCCTAGTTTATGCAATGGCTGTGAGACATGTTGAGGAAGAAGGCATAGGTTGCTACGGTGGGAGCGAAGGTTAGGGTTAGGGAGGGGACGGGGACGGGGACGGGGACGGGGAGGGAGGAGACCAATGCTCAGCACAGCATTGAAGATGCTCCTCGTCAACGGGTGCGAAGCTACTGATAGGCGCACACGTGCAATGGCTGTGAGACATGTTGAGGAAGTCATAGGTTGGTACAGCGGGAGGGAAGGTCGGGGAGGGGACGGGGACGGGGACGGGGAAGGAGGAGACCAATGCTGAGCGCATCATTGTACGTGCTCCTTGCCAACAGGTGGGAAGCTACTGTTAGCAGCATGCACAAAATGGAGGCAACAAGTGTACATATGGTACCTGAACAGCTGTTCGGGATGCAATGTGAAAGTGTGTGACTAATGGTAGACCGAAAAAACTTCAGGGGAAGCTTTCACAATGACTGCCTGCATTTGCATGGTGGAAACCCTGGAAAGGGCAAGGAGAGCGATGCTGAGTATCAGCAACGTAGAGTTGAGGGAGAGTTGCTGTGGTCAAGAGGAAACTGGTGATGGGGAACCGACATATTTGAGGGAGAGTTGCTGTGTTTGAGAGGAGATTGGTGATCGGGACTACATCTAAGGGCACCCAGGGTGGATGGCGGAGGTAAGGGAGGAAGGAGACGGTGGGCCGAGGAGGGAGGGAGGGCAGAGAGACTGAGGAAGGGGGAGAATGGTGATGGGGAGGGCAGCCAGTGCGCTGGGGGAGGTCTGTCTCTTATACACATCTAGATGTGTATAAGAGACAGGCGCAGCATCAAGCGAGAGCGCAGCAGCACTTCCGCATAGCTAACGCTGGCCAGAATGCCTGGCCTCGGCTGCCTCACTTCCTTTATGGAAGTGT